GGGGAAAGAGTTATGTTCCTTTCCTTTTACTAAACACACACACACACAAATCTCATAAGAGCATAAAAATAAGGGATCCTGTTACTTTCCAGTCATTTTGCTTCCTCATTTTACTAGAGAGCAGAGAGAGAGAGTTTGTTCAAGTTTTGCTAATGAAGAACACAATAACCCTTTCTGGTCTTGGCCCACAACTGAGTAAACGGTAAGCACACTGGAATAATAAAACAACTGTTTACTAACTTTTTGTTCACGTCCACCCTCAGGAACAGGTATCAGGCAAATTTCCAACAATAAATATAATATCTGAACTCGTATATGTTTATGAGTAAATTGATGCTAATAGAGAGATCTTAGAAGTGATGATCGCCAGGCAGGAGAAATGGCTCCACAGTTAAGAGCACTGGCTGCTCCAGCAGAAAACACAGGTTTGGTTCCCAGCACCAACATGGCAGCTAACAATCACCAGTAACTCCAGTTTCAGGGGATCCGACACCGTCTTCTGACCTCTGTGCGCACTGCATGACACACATGCACTTATATGCATACTGGCAAAACACTCATCCACATAAGATAAAAATAAATAAATGAATAAAAAATTAAGTGCCTACTGCCACCTGCAAAAAGGACTTACAGACGCAGTAAATGCAGAAGAAAGTCCTTCCTTAACCCTTCCTCTTTGATGGTGATCTCAAATGTAATAATGTCTGTCAGGTGCAAACCACAGCCCCTGAATCAGCCTCCGGCTCTTGCTTCCTTAGGTTGATAGAAGTTAAGTTACTCATTTCAGGATTCTGCTGAAGATAAGCACATGGTTTAGCTCAAAGGACCCTAAGCCATTCTTTTCACACAGCTTTGGACCTTGTTAATTAAAGAACTTTTGTGAAAGAGTCATCAATAGAAGTAGAGTCATATTTGAAATCTCAAATGAAAATTACCACATTAAGCCAAGAAACAGAGACTTTATTTTGAATAGTTTTTAAACCTACTCCTCAAATACATATCCTTTGATGGGTGGCACCTCCAAAAGTTACTATAGAACTTCTCTGTAATGCATAGATACTAGGGTCCCCATTCATCTCTATAGGACATACATTTTTTTCCTGCCTATGAATGAGGCCCATTTAACATTAGCAAGCACATATATTTATTCATTCTTCCTGTCTGTCTGTCTGTCTCTGTCTCTGTCTCTCTCTCTGTCCTAGAGGAAATGGCTGTGTAGAATTTTAAATCAGAAACCCAAAGCTTAGGTTAGTAGTGTCAGGTTAAAGGCTTGTCCATCTCCAAAGCTAATTCAGTTCTGAACAGTCCCAGGGGTGTCTAGCTGAACAGAAGGAGCTAAGAAACCTTAGCAGGCCAGAGACCAGCCTGGGGAATGGCTGGGACTCGGTGCCAGGGGCTGAGGCTCACCCCAGACTTAGTATCAGATAATACGAAGTGCTCGTCTGGATTTCCAGGACTAATCCACTCTTCGGTGGAACTTCCAGGTTCCCTGGTGTCTGTGCCATCAAGTGGAAGGACAGTGGGTTTTGCAGAGTCAGACTGTGCATGGATAGTACTGTTTAACATGAGGAATAGACTTAATGCATAGAAAACATCTATAAGTAGCAACGGTTTATGCTTTAGAACTCTTCAGTCATGTTGGGGTGCAAAGACATTCCAACTTTTCCATAGCTTGAGACAGCGTAAGCTTATATATATAAGCATTACAGTTTGCACTGAAGTGTTTACAAGTTCTATCAATTCTTAATCAACGTATCAATAGTGGCTTTATTAACAGCTACATTTACTTAGGTTTTTCAGCTTTAAAAGCAATTTAAATTACCTCAGTTCACGCCCTTTATCACCTCCTTTCTAAAGTCACATCACTCTTTTTTCTCAGTGGCCAACTTTTAAATTTGCCCCATGTAACTTCCTAAAACCCATGAATGACTTCTACCAGGCAACTTTAATCCCTAGACTCAACTGTATTTTAACACTGATACTGTGTGATTATCTAAGAGAAGAAAACAGCCTTTTCTCACACCCAAGCAGTTCAGCCTTAATTCTAGAACACAGATCTACAATTTTATTTTGTATTAAATAGAAATTAACATTGATTTTTACCCAAGTTAGTATTTCTTATGCAAGCTTCTCCCATTCTCAATGGACAGTTGGGAAGCCCTGGGTTACAGTAACTGAACTGCAAAATACACCATTTGCCCAGAAATTGCTCTTAGTCAAAATGCAAATTGCTTATAAAACGTGTAAACCCGGCTTAGAAAAGGCAGCACACATCCACAAAAAACCCATTCAATGCAAAAAAAAAAAAAAAAACAAAAAAAAAAAACAACGTGGAAACGTATCGCAAATTAAGGCGGCCCTTTAAAAAAAAAAAAAAAAAAAAAAAGGCAGGAATGTTTATGGTGCTTCCAAAGGTAAATTGCTTCTTACGTTGGTAAAAGTGGCTTAATGTGACTGCCAGGCAGCTTTTTTTTAGTGAGTAGGTAACAGTATTCAATCAGAGAACGTGGAGGGAGCCCACTCTTAAAATCCAACTTCATCCACAGGCACCAACCCGCAGGAGAGGCCCACCCAACACTGGAGCTAAAATGGAGCCTGAGTTTCCTCTCAGACAGAAAGGGTTGCCTCACGAGGTCAGGGTCAAGGTCACCGGCAGGGCAGCCTGCAGCTGCCCGGCTGCGCAGCACTGCCCGGGAGGGGCGGCCTCCATCTCCAACACAGCCCCAACAGATAAATCCCTTCTCCTTCCCACCCTCCCTCTCACCCCGCCAACATCTTTTTTTTTTTTTTTTTAAGCGCGCGGGTGGGGTGGGGGGAGGAAAATGACCAAATAACCTCACCGCCCTGGTTTTCGCACACAAGCTCATCAGCGCCCAAAGTTGCCATCTAAGGGCAAGTTCTCGGAGCACACCGAAGCCCTTTTGCCGGAGCCGGGCCAGCGTCCCGCCGTCCCCCAACCCAGGATGCCCGGCCCCCGCACGCCCCCGAGCGGAGCCGGCACCCGGACCCGCGGGCCATGTGCACGCACACTTCCACCAACTGCTGCGAGTTTTCTGGGAATCGCAGCGCGGAGCCTCCCAAGTCCCCCGACCCGACTCCACCGCCTTCTCCTCGCTCAAGATTTCCCTCCACACGCAGCCGCCTGCGAGTGATTTTATGTGCATATATATTACATATGTGATATTATCCTCAGAACCTCTAGCGGGCAGGCGAAGAAAGGACCGCACGGGGGCATTTTTTTTTTTTTTAAAGGAAGGGGAAAAAAAGCACAACCCCAGCCCTGTGCGTCGACTCCTGCCGTACCGGGAAGGGGGAAGAAAGGAATGTTTGCCGAGCGGCCCGCCAGCCGGCCCGTGCCCTCGCTCGCCACTTCGGCCGCGGCCCGGAGGCCACGGAGCCCGCCGGGGGCCACCGCAGCCCCGAGGCGCCCTCGTGGGTCCACCCGGGGTCCGCGCCGCCGCGCAGCTCGGGCGAGGGGGTGATCGATCGAGCCGGCCTGTCTGCAGCGGAAATGCACACGCTCGCACACACCCCGAGACACCATAACCTTAACCCTTCCCCCACCCTCCGTGAACTTCAGGTGACCGACCACGTCGGCCCGACACCCGGGCGGGCAGCCGCTCCGGCTCCGCTCCCGCCCCCAGCCCGGGTTTTGCAGGATCGGGCTCCGAGCAGCGCCAGACCGCGCGGCAGAGGGGAGAGGAGACAGGGCCCCTCCGTGTGCCCCGACCCCTCCCTCGGCGCCTCCCGCCACCCCGCCCCGCGCCTTCGCCCCTGCCCCCTCTCCCCTGCATTCAAGGAGCCGGGCGGCCCCGGGGGATATTTTTAGTTGCTTCTTTCTCCTTCACTTTTAGCTTCGGCAGCATCTCGGAACACTCCGAGCGGAGAGAGCTCGGGGGGTGGCGGGGGGAGCCGGGGAGGGAGAGGGGGAAAAGTTAAGAGTCTCGCAAAGAGGAGCGGGAGGGGGGCGCGAGGACCCGGGTGGAGGAGGGGACGCGCCCCGGCGGGGTCTCCGGCGGCCGTGTGTGGCTGGCCGGGGAGGGCCGGGAGGCACTTCAGTCCGGGACTCCGGTCGCGCTGGTCGGGCGGGGGGGGTCCGTCTGCTCCCACTGACCCCGCATTTTATTGCGGCCGGGCGCCCTGCTCCGCCCTCCCCTGGGCTCTGCGGGGACCTCGCCAGCCGCCCAGCTTCCTCGCCTCCGCCTCGGCGGGGCTCCCGCACCCCACATCCGCTCCGCTGCCCGGCCTCGCC